TTCTACTATAATATCTAAATTTTGTGACTTCTTGTTCTTCCTTCAAGGTTGGTAAATCATTCCATGGCTCAAATCCAAAGTCACAGCTGTTTCCAGCTGCTTGCCAGGGTCTCAAATGCTTCTGACCTGGACCCAGAACCTCCAAAAATGTCTGAGGGACATTTTGAGTTCCCACACTCAGATACACAAGACCTCAGTGACTGCTGGACTTGTGGTTATGGTGATATCGTAGTCCTTGGCAGTCACAGGTTAAGCTGCAGATGTAAGATGTTATTGTCATATGTAATAACCCCATTTAATCTGAAGTGGGGCAGAGTTATATTTACCCTCAGGCTGGGTTTTATTGCTTGGACACTGTGGGGTCTTAATTTGCTGATCTCTCTTCTGTCACCTAAGCAGTCACCAACTCTCCCATGCTTTTCTAACATCTCCTTGGGGCCAGAAGAAAATTCACATTCACTCCTGAAGCCTGTTTTTCTGATGCACTCTTCACCTGGGATCAGAACCTTACACGAGTTTGTCCTACCCTTGCCAGTACCTCTATCATCCTCAAGACAGGACAGCAGAGGCAGTGGACCAACTCCTGTGCCCTTCTGGGGCCACGTTCCTGACAGCTCTCACAGGCTCTAGGGTGCTGTGGAGTCTGACAGGCACAAGTCACTCAGAGATTTAATTATTTTTTTTTAAATTTATGTCTTAGCCACAGCCTATGCTTGTTCAGTTCAGAATGTGAATATGTTTGTTTTTCCTTGGCTATCAAAATAGAGAGGTTATTCTATCTGGACACATCCATGATATTCAGCTGTTTCCTGATAACTGCTCCATTAACATCTGTCAGCATGGCACCCTCTCTGCTCATAACCTCCTCACAGACCAGACAGCTTTCCTAGCAGAAGGGACATACTTATAAGAAAATAAAAGGCAAAATGTCAGCATGTTCCCAAATGAGATGCCCTGGGAGATTCATGACACAGTGGTAGCTGTGAAGAAATGCAGATGTGACAGGGGGCTGACAGTTTGGTACTTTGTCTATAATCCTTCTGAACTAGTGGCAAAGACTTTCTTAAATACAGTGATTACCATGAGAAACCTTTCCCTAAAAGTGTTGTTTACATCAACAATCATAAGATGATAAGTGACAGTCCTGGGTCTTTTCCATTCCTTTCAGAGGACAAATACCATAGGTCAAGACTTTTGGAATAACAATAATAATTACAACAACAACAGATTAATATAATAATAAAACAGACCAGCGAGCCTGAAAAAAACAGAATAGAGTCTGAATAAAATAGGCTGAAAAGCCTGGGGCAAACTGCATTTGCTAAACCATTTGGTAAAATGGGCTGAGATACTTGAGCTAAAGTAAATCAGGCAGAAGTTGCCTTTGAGTGACTGAAGGGCTGGCTCAAAAGCAGCCATTTGGACTGCCCAGAATACAGACATATTGCTCCCTGGGCATCCTTCTGCAGAGGTACTGCTGCAGCTCTGTGCTTCTCTCCAGAAATAAGCAGTGCATTACTGGTAGCAAGGTGGTAGCCACCTTCTAGACATGCTGCTGCTGTTTTTCTTGGACCACAGAAATGATATAACCAAGGTAGAGTAAATATAAAAACAAATAAAACTGCTCTCAAAAATGTTTTTGTCTGAATAATTAATTCCTCAGCAAGTTTTCTCATAATAAAGCATGTCCTAATGAGCTATCAGGAGGAGAGGAAATTCATCACTTACCCCACAAATATCAACTTGAGAGCACTGCTCATGTCAGATGGCATAATTAATGACTTGAGAGGGAGCGTGGGGCAGCACAGCCAAAAACATCATCCCCATCAGTCATTCCACATCAGCCCAACTCATCCATGTTACTTGATCTACAGAGGATTAGCCAGGCAGCTAGAAGGAGATATGGGGCTAAAGGGAATGCAGGCAAATATGGTATATCTAATCTTGATTTATCCTTGGTTGGTTTTCTGCTTATCACTGAGGTGCCATGGCAGTTGGCCGTGCATTGTGTTTTATTTTTGTGGCTTTTCTTTTTTTCCTAGAGAAATAAAATTTACAAACTTTGAACTTTACTCTCCCTGATGCTGAGCAAGTCATTCTCAGCCCCGTGTCAGAAGCTGGTGCTCCTGGGGGTTCAATTCCTATGCAGCAGGCCTGGGTGGGTGCCCTGGAGCAGTGAGACCTCTCTGTACAGTGGTGACAGGGGATGATGTGGTCAAGGGGGGGCTGCAGGAGGAACACACCTGAAACTGTTCTTCTTGTGGTGGCACCACCCCCAGAGCTGGGGCAATGTGCAGCTTCCTCTCTTCACACGTCCATCTCTTGTCTGAGTGCCCTGCAGCAAGAACTGCCCCACTGGCTTCCTCTATGTGTCTGCTCTGGGGCAAGTCCCTCCTAAGGACATTGACAGGAGCCAAGGCATGGGGGATGCTTTGGGGAGCCAGCTCTCCCCACTCGGATGGGGAAGCTGAGGCACCAGGCTGGTGCTGGCAGCTGCTGTAATGAGAACCTGAAATGGCCAAAGGGGGTCAGACCAGAGGGTGATCTCCCTGGGGATCCCACCTCAAGGCCTGCCAGGAGCAGGTGCTTGTTTAGGGAAGAATAGAGGATAGAGTAACCTTCCTGAACTGAAGGTTACTCCCCCAGCTCTGCATTTCTCAGGTCCTTATGGAACTCTTTTTACCATTAATTTATCTAATATCTTTTGGCCCCAGCACTCCTCAGTGTCCCTTGATGTCAGAGAACAATTGTGATTGCCGCAGAACAATTATGTGAAGTGAGAAAAATGTGCATCTTTTCCTGTGTTTCAGAGTTTCTGCCTGGCCTGTATATCTAATGTCCTCCATTCCCTGTGATAAGAGAAGGAGTGAATCATCATTCACATTGCCTTTCCCCCTTGTTGCTTCACCACGTTGAGAAAAGCAAGCCTATCAAATTTACTCCACTGAAATAGCTCTATGTTTCTGAACCAATTCCAGCCTAGCAGGATTTTTTTTTAGGATTTACATGAGAGAAGAGTATGAGAAATCCAGGCAGCTGCCAAAGTGATGGCTGACAGGTTTTATTTCCATCCCTTTGCTCACTCCAGTGTGTGCTCACTGCTTAAGAGCAAACCCTGTGCTCCAGTAGCTGTCAGCTGCTAAGTGCAGCTGTTTTACATGTCTGCTCACATTTGCAAATGCCTGGCTGTGTTTTCTGAAGCTCTCCAATAAATGCTTGCTTGAGTTAGTTCATCAGCAAAGACAACTTTAGCTGCTCTACAAGTGACCCCCACAGTCACCCTGGTGCAGCAGAGCCCTGTGGCTGCTGCTGGCAAGATCTGAGCTCTGGGCTTGCCCTAGGCCAAGCGCCCTGGGCATCTGCTGGCACCTTCTGTGGGCTCCAGGGTAACCAATAATTGGCCTTTTATGTTGGTGCTGACCTCCCAGGTAAAGTTCAGAAAACATTATCTGGCAAATCTGATGTGTCTCATTTCAAAGAAAAGAGTTTTCCACCTCAATCCAGGTCTGATTTCTTTACAGGTAAAGGATAAAACCCTTTGGGAACCAAGCACTTATTGGAAGCAAGGTTAAGAGCAATAAACTTTTCTCCTTACCAATAGACTGAAATATCAGCCAAATATTTTTTGTTAGGAGCACACATCTATCCCCATGGGGTCAGTCAGTGCTCTATAACTCATCTTACAAAACTGAAATACAATTTTTGATGATCAGAGCTGGGTAAGGATCAGAAAACTGGCCCGACATGTTCCATTTATACTGACAAAAGTTTGTATTGAAAAAATATTTCCCCTGCACAGATAGAGTGAGATTTTAAGATGCATTACAAATTATTTGTAATGAAGCTGTGAATGAATGTCTTCTCTGAGAATCCCCCCAGTGCCCTCCTCAGGACTGTATCTCTAACTCTTACCAGCACACAGAAATAATTGTTTGGTTGCCCAATGGAAACACCAACCTGAATTCCCATGTGCACTGTGTTTGGGGTCTCTGTCCCTCATCTGCTTCTCTAAACAGTGACACAGCGATAAAATGAGTGTAAACAGCCCTGGGATTAAAAAGTGATTTGGGACCTGCAGCTGATCTCAAACTGGATGTGGCTAGGAAATTAGATTAGGAATTTACTTTACCTGGAAGTGGACATTAATTGTGGTGTCTCATGCTGGAGAGAGGAATTGTGCTGAGATGGAAAAAAAGAAATTTGGATTTTGGGGAAACTATAGCTTGAGGTCAGTTTGATTTGGATTTTTGTGCCACAGTGGTCTGAGCACAACTCACATCCCCCTTTTTGATGCCTTTTGCTTTCTGGCTTCCTGGCCTTGCAGAGGGGATGCTCTGGTGTCTTCCCAAGCATGGTGTGGGGCAGGGAGCTGCTCACCCCCGGGAATAAAATGCCATCTGTTCCTGCTATGTGTGTCCCATTGCTGTGCTGGTCTGTTCTCAGCTTGATTTCCAGCAGGAACCTGCTTAAGGCTATTTCCTTTCAGCCCTGCTCCACTTCCCAGACAGGGATAAGGGAGCTGATCCCAACCCCAGGCAGCCCCTAAACGCCACCAGGGCTCAGGAAAAGTTATTCCACTTGTGGTGAGCCTTTGCTCCTCTTGCAATACCTTGGTAGGGGGGTGACCACCTGGGCTAGAACAGAACCACTGGGTCTGTGTGTGCCGGGGTGTCTGTGCACCCTGTCTATTATTGCCACCGTCTGAGGCTGTGGCCAGATTTTTAAAAACTGGGGCTAAAATTTCCTGGCATCCAGCAGGTAGGGTGAAGCCAGTCTGCTGGTTTTGGGTATTTGTGTGTGTGTGTGTGATGGCAGTCAACAGGGGTGACGTCGGTGTTCTGTGTCATCAGGGGCATCCCCCATCGGCGGTCCCCAGCCCTGTTGGATATTGATTTAACTCCCTGGGCGCCAGGGCGTAGTGGCAGCCAGATTTTCCCCAAGAGGGATACCCCACAACAGCTCTTCCCCTCTCCTCTCCCCTCTTCCCCTACAAGCCCTGAAGCCATTCCCAGGGGCAGCTCGGGCTGCGGGAGAGGGAAAATCCTTGTCCAGAGGAGGCATCGGACCGCACTGCATTGCATTGCATTGCACTGCGCATCCTCCCTCCCTCCTTCCCTCCCCACCGCCTACTGCTGCAGCCTCCCTTCCTCCCTCCATCCCTCCATCCTCCCATCGCTCCCTTGCGTCTCCCACTCCTGCATCCCTCTCTTCTACATCCCTCCTCCCGCATCCCCCCGTCCCTCCCGCATCCCTCCTCCCGCATCCCTCCGTCCCTCCCGCATCCCTCTCTCCACCCCTCCCTCCTTCCCTCCCTCCCTCTGCCTGCGCAGAGCCGCGGACATGGCGCTCAGCAATTTCCTCTTCGCTCAGTGCATCTGCTATTTCCTGGCCTTTCTCTTCAGCTTCATCGTGGTGGTGCCACTCTCCGAGAATGGCAACGACTTCCACGGCCGCTGCCTGCTCTTCACCGAGGGCATGTGGCTCAACGCCAACCTGACGGTGGAGCGGCAGCGCTTCACGGTGCAGGAGTGGGGGCCTGAGGCCGCTTGCCGCTTTAGCATCTTCACCGGGCTCCTCTCCCTGCTGCTGGCCACAGTGCAGGCCTGGAGGACCCTCTTCTTCCTCTGCAAAGGGCACGAGGAGTAAGTATCCCTGGGGATCAGCCCATCTCTCCCACGGGCTGGGTGGGCTTTGCACCACCCAGGTCATCGGGCTCCCCAGAGGGGTTTGGGGACAGGGGGTGTATGGCCCGTGTCTGGCTGCACGCCCTGCAGGCACTCCCCCAGCTCTTCCAGGGCCCTCTCCGGAGGATGCTCCTGTGGGGTGGGGGGTCAGACCCTCTGCCGTGCACCCACTGCCCTTTGGCAGACTTGGTGCAGTGTGGCTGCAGTGGCCATGGAAGGATTTGGGGGCTCTGGGGTGATGCTGGAGGCTGGGGCTCCCAGGTGCCTGTTGACCATGGTCCCACTGCACATCCGTGCCAAAGAAGGCCCTCCCCAGGTGTGCACTGGGTGTGTGAAAAACCTTGAAACAACATGGTTGTGTGTGGGGGGCCAGAAGGTTGGTGACCCCCCTCTATTTTTTGTGCTGGTTTTGCTGTGTACATGGCAGCTATTGCAGACAGCAGCTATTGCTTGGTTACGACATGAGAGCGACGCTGAGCGCTCCTGCAGCAGCTCAGGGCAGCACTGACTGCTGGCTCCTGTGCTCAGACAGTCCAAGGGGCATCCTGGGGCAGCGTGGGGAAGGATTCCACAGCATCCCACCCCAGCAGGTGTAGTGAGAGGCTTGGTGGCCAGGCAGCAGCTCAGGAGCACTGTGATGTTCTGTGCTTGCCTCTCTGGTGGCCTGAGAGGACAGAGAGCCTGGTGCAGGTAACTCAGGTGCTGCAGGGCTGGGGCTGGACAATGCACTGGTGCCTGTCTAAACTAGGAAGATATTTTTCCCATGGTTTAGGAACCATGCCAAGGGTTGATCACTCCTGTCCAGGTCTATTTGGACTAGAGGTTTCTTGAGTAAGGGGCTGTTACATCTTGGTCTTGGTAACCCTGGAGATTGGGTAGCAGTGTTTTCTTTTGGCTCTTTCCAACCACTTTCAACCTGCCTAATGCTCAAATATGCTGTAATAAATGTGGACCAGAAACTTATTCCATATTAAAAGTGTGTACCTTACACTAAATACAACCACATCCTTCTCAATATCTTTGAGTCCAGCTTCCTTGGGTGATCCATTATCTGTAGAGGGTTAGCTGAATCATAATTCTTTGCAGGTCACAGCTAGCTAATTTTTAGAAGAAATCATCAACAAAAACCCTGTAATGGTGACATTTGGATTAGATGTTAGGCCTGCTTTCAAAAGTGGCTGTTAACTTCAAAGCTGTTGGGCAGGCTCCTGAAAAGTGTCCCTTTGGAGCTCCTTCAGGCCCTTTGGGAGTTGTATGACACTGCTCATAGTTGCTCCAGGCAAGAAAGGCAGAAGGCTGTGGGGTGATGGGAGCAAAGATGGAGCAAGTTGAGATGATGAGATAACCACAACATGGCAAGATGCTTGGGAACAGCAGTTTCTTGGTAAGGTCTGTCCTGTTCCACATCAGCCACCGTATGAAAAGCAGGTGGGGCTCACGCTGTCCTGATTTTAGACAGCCATTTGTTAACAGTTCAAATGGGTGCAAAAACATTTCTGTTTGGATGGAGAGATAATTGTGAGCTCCTCACTACACATGATAATTGTCTGTTCTGATTAGAGGTAGTTGAGGAATGTCAGAAATGATGATCCTGTTGAGGAGGGTCACTGCTACTGGACCAGCTCCAGGCTGAGCCAGCTGAGGCAGTCAGGGTTAGTTATCACCCTCTGCATCTTTCATGTACAATGATTTGAATGATTGCTGACAGATACATATGATTGCTAAAAATACCTTAAAAGGGTCTCAGCACCCCTTGCCTCAGTAGCCTGGGGCTCTTCAGCTCAGCTGAAGGGTAGAAGTATAACTCAGGTACTTCATTGCTAGGATTGCAAAGAAACTTTAAGAGTAAACATTCATTGCTAAAGGGCATTCACTCAATCTGCAATGCATAGCTTGAAGGTCTAATCTGAGGAGGAAAAATCAGGTGATCTAGAGAGCCAAAGAAGCAGTTTTCTGTCAGGATGCCCTGGCATCAGTGGTGGTTTCTCTTGCCAGAGGCAAATCAGGTGCAAAGCTGAGCCCTGCTTTGTCAATGGAAGGCCAGATCCTGGACCATGGAACCTCTCTTGCTCCAGGGTACAAAATAGAGGGAGAACTGGAGATCCTGGGCTGTGATGGCCCACTGAAAAGTCCTGGCAACTGCTCCTTTTCTGGAGCTGTTACTAATTCTGGTTCCAGGTCTGTTTTATTCTGTGAACAGCTCAGGTCTTTTCTGCCTCTCAGGCCAGCACACCATGCTAAGGTGCACAGTATCTGACTTTGGCAACATTTGGGATGAAATCCAGTCTAGGTGTAAAATCAGGGTGAAGAACATGCAAAAATCTGGTATCTCATAGCAGCTCTCACTGTATGGGTTACCCCAGCTCACCCCAAATCAGAGGTGAGCTGATCTGCTTCACCAAGCCCAGCTAACCCAGAGCAGGATTCAGCTTATTGCTCATCCAGAAGTCAGGTGTCCTGGCATCCAGCACTCATTACACTCCATAGGGGCACTTCTTGAAGGTGGTTTATTTCACTTTTTCCATCAGTCTTGGGGTGGGACAACTGTCAGTTTGGAGAGAACCTAGACAGTCTCTCTAAAGCCACATCAACCCAGGAGAAAACAGCCTAACTCTGCTGATAACTGCTTCCTCATCTCATTTTAAAAAAGTTCTCCTGAGGTCAAAAATGTATCATGTATAATCTGTAGAAACTAGGATTGTCCAGCCCAGAACCTTCCAGGACTCAAACACTTATTTAAAGAACCTCTTGGCTTTTCATTTAATGAGAAACCAGGGAAAATAAGTGAGTGAGGTTTTTTTTTCTTTCTCTGGGGTGAGTAGATTCATTCTATCACCAGCACAATGAGTGGCACTGGTGAGAAATTTGTCATATTCATCTTTACCACACACTCTGGATAGGATGACCTGCCTCCTGGAGCTGCCAGTCTTTCTCCAACCTGGAGCAGATGTCCAGTTTTCACATAATGTGACATTCCAAGGTGTCCTATTCTAAACAGCCACTTAGAGCAGTTTCAAGTAGAGAAGGGCTTTGCCAGATGACTGGGATTAGAAACTTTTCACAGCTAGAATTCAGGTGAGGAGTTAAAGAGTGAAAATGAGTGAGCGATTCCATGGCCTTATGGGAAATGCCTAAGCATCCCACCCATCCCACTCCAAACACTGCCCGTGCTGAGGGCAGGCCCTGGTGGGGCAGATTTAATGGGGTTGAGGTAAATTGATATTCAGCTGGCAGACATAGCATACTGACACCAAAGCCAGAGAAATCCCGGGAGAAGCTGGCCTGCTCTGCAAATTGCCCGTAAAACTGAGATTCGTGTCCTGTGATGGCACTGCCTTGTGTTACATTGCTTGTAATGATTATAGCTATCAGTTCCGTGTTTTTTATTTTTAGTTTTCCTCTTCTAAGCAATTTTTGTTCCAATTATCACTTAAGTCATGAAATAATTTTAGCTGCAGTTACTACATAATTTGAGCTAATAACATTTATTTTAACAATGGTGATTTTCATCATTACAGCTAATGAAAGCCACATTGTGTATGAACAATCACCACACATTATATAAAGCCACATCTTCATATTGTTAAAAAAGAAATCAAAATCAAAAGCATTTGGAAGTGAAGGTACGGTGACTCAAAATCAAGTCCATAGTATTTAAATGTATTAGGTGTTCTTAATTAAAGATGTGTTTTAAATGGAAACTGGTATCTTTGTACCCACTCTGTGCTGCTTGCAGAGACTGCTGATGTTGTGTTTCAGCTGTTTATGAGTTACATTTTTCTTGCCTTTTATTACAGCTCTTTCTTTTACGCCTTCCTGAATCTGCTGATCAGCGCCTTTGTGGTGTTCATCACATTTATTGCCAGCACTATAGTGAGTGTAGGATTTAACATGTGGTGTGATGCAATTACTGAAAAAGGAAGCATGCCAAATAGGTTAGTATTGAAGAATACATTTTATTCCTTTTATTTTTTTCATATAGGCACACTTGAACTGTGGTGTTACAAAGTGTAGCTATTACACACAATGTGAGAAAGAGGGAAAAGGCATCTGTAATATGAAAATCCAGAGTTTTTTTCATGTGTAAGAAAACAAAGTAAATCAAACTTCTTTTTGTTTCTTTATTTAGAAGCCCACAAAGAAAAGTGTGTTTCTGTTGTATTTTGTGGTCATGATCACATGAAAAGAAATTCATTATGTTAAAATTTTTTATTTCCAAAGGAATGCTAGATTTAGGGATTTTCTAAGAATGGTGGGGGTGTGGCTTTGTGAGCAGGGCAGGGGTCTGGGGGCCAGGGCTCCTGGCTTGCAGTCCTGGTTCTGCCTTCAAGCCACTGTGTGGCACCTGGCAAGTCACTTATCCTGCCTGTGCCACAACTCATCATCAGGCAAAACATTTGGGGTAGAGTTCCTTGCCTTGTAGTGATGCTGTGGATGCCCTGAGAGCCACAGAATGTAAAGCACTTTGTAAATGCAAAGTACAGATGGCTGATGCTTTGTTACAGCCACAAAATTTACAGCTCCTAAAATGTGCCAATGTGTCCCATGATGCTTATGCTCCTTATAGGAAACATGATAAGTCGAGGAAGACTTGCTCCTGTCAAACAAATAATGATGAAAAGAGGAAAATGTGACATTTTATGTCATATGATTTTGAATAAATGTACTACTTAAAGCATACATTTATGTTGCACATTGTCATATGTTGTAAAATGCCATAGTGAATGTTCTGTTTAGGGCTGCAACGATTAATCGAATTACTCGAATATTCGGTTAAAAATTCAATTACAAAAAGCATCTAATCGAATATTCGGGTAAGAACCCGAGATGACCGACAGCACTGAAAAGGAGAGAGAAGAGGCTGCAGAAATCAACCAAGATGTAGAATGACAACCTCAAAATCCTGGGATATTTTTCACACCAATAATGGTCCAAGTTATTTGTAAAATCTGTAGGCAGCCCCTATCTTATCATCAGAGTACCATGTCCTTGCTGGAGCATCTGAAACAAAAACACAATTCCATCTTCTGAGGCTTTTCCTGATGAAGTCAAAAGGTAACAGAGGATATACACTTTGTTTCATTGAGGGGTGAAACAGCCAACCTGGGGTGATGCCAGGGGCAAATCTGTGGGAGGCGAGGGGGCGTTGGGAAAGAGGGGTTTAAGACAACCTGATGATTGCAATAACTTAATTATCCCTTGACAGAATATGCCATTGTGACCGTTCAAAATACATTTAATATGTTGTTTCATTTTATATTTGGTTTACCTAGAATCTCTTAAATTTTCTTCTTTTGTTTTTCCCTTTCCAAATGCCTTTCTGGGTAGCTGTGAAGAATTGCAGGATATAGATCTTGAGCTGAACTTGGAAAACTCTGCTTTCTATGACCAATTTGCTATTGCACAGGTAGGTCAGACTAAGTCATGGTTCTATTACAGTTAATTTGCCATTTGCTTATTGACTTGGGATTGTTGGAGCTGAACTACCGTTCTCAGAAATCAATGGGAATGTTTCCACTGACTTCAGTAAGTGCTGAATCAGAATGATAGTGATGGGCACATTTGCCTTTTAAATTCAAAATAGACAGTTTCGAATACAGATATGTCAAAGCCTCACCTTACCAGTGATCTTGTTAATCATGGTAGAAAACTCATTGTTCATCCAAAGGATGAGATCTGCAAAAGTTGCAGCACTCCAGTGTCCTGGATCTGTTAATTACTGTTCAAAATAGTTTCTGACCTGCACCATGTTGTGGGGTTTCTAGTTTTGCCTTCCTTGACTTCGACTGAGATCAGTCAAGGTATGTAAATATCAGACCATTGAAAAGAATCAAAGATTAATTCATTCAGATAGGGCTGTTTTCTGATGAGTCCATGAGAATTAGACCTCTAAGGCTGTCAGATCGTTCCATTGAACATTCTAGCTCTAAGTCAATGATCAGAGTCAGTGAACACTGGGACATGAGCACATACTAATTTTGCAGGGGTGAGAGGTCCATCTCTGCATGGCTGCAGCCTTACAAAGGCTTATGCTTGTCCCACATGGAAAGAGGCATTAGCCTGCCTGGAACATTCCTTGAAGGTAACGCTGCCTCTTGAGCGCAAGTAAATTTTTTGTCTTTGTTGCCAGCTTTGGTATCTAGATGCCCAGCTCAGGCATAACTGCATTTAGGAAAGAAATATGCCATAAAAGTGACTCCTTTATATGAAGAACCAAGCCCTCCCTGGATTTAGCTTGGCGTGACTCTGTGGGTTTTGGTCCAGATGAGGTTTGCATAACCACCTGGACAGCTGACTTTGTTTTTACAATACTGTCCTGACCTCTTTATGATTTCTTTTCTTCTCCAGTTTGGTCTCTGGGCTGCCTGGCTGACTTGGCTGGCAATTACCATTCTGGCTTTCCTGAAGGTCTATCACAACTACAGACAGGAGGATCTGCTAGATAGCCTGATCCATGAGAAGGAGCTGCTGCTAGGAAGATCCCCTTCACGATCCTCTTTGCAAGATGACAAAAGTGGCATGATCTAAAGTGTAAGCAAATTTCCAGGGCAGGATCTAGATTTTATTATTCAGTAATGTGAGCTGAAGCTGAGTCAGGGTATTGAGTGTGTGAGACCTTTTCTTTTCCTGAAATGAAATGCAATTGTGAATCACTCACTTCCCCCATGAGAAATTGCTGGCAGAAATAGTGATATTAGGATAAAGAGAATGAACTGCCCTATGTGCCTGTGGCACAGCAAACTTTCTGTCCTGTGCAGGCAAAATTTTTAACCTGCCCTTGTCAGCAGAGCTCCCATGTGCCATCGCTGGCTTTTGCCACAGGGGCCATTTCTGAGAACTGAGCTGGCAAGCCCAGGCTACAAGATCCAGGCTATTTCTTCAAACTATTCTTCAAAATAGTTGTAACTGGAGCTGCTTTCAGTCCTTTTCCTCCCTTTTGCCAATGAAGCTGCCCTTGTTCTGTCTATTCTGGGAAGCTGCAGCTCTGGTTTGGGTGCAGGCTGTCACTGTCTCTGCTTTTGCTGTGTATGGATGCAGTGCTGGTGAACACATTGCTCCTGCTCTGATTTTATTCAAAACATAGAGACCTGTGTTCCAGACTTGATATTTAATATTGGACAGTGTTAATGAGTTCCATGAAACCCGTGTATTATTATAGCACCTGCCAAATACTGTGTATAATATGGAAGGATGATGGAGAACATTTGTGGTTTTGTTTCTTCTTAGATTTTGGCATAACCAGCATTTATTATGTCTCCTAAAGTGAAGTGTAGCTAGAAATTGCTGAAGCTTGCATACTAATAAATTAAGCTGAATAGATAGTATTAATGCTTGTGCATTTATAAATGTGACTTGGTCCCTAACATTGTATACTATTCTGTTTTGAATATTAGAATTTATTTGTGATATTTATTTCATATAGGATATGAAAAATTACTTTAAGCATTTGCATTGTCGGTTCTATATATAAGCACAGGCAGGAGTTAAAACAGCTGAGTTATTTTATAGGTAGTGCAGTGCTGAATGGGTCCATTCTCTCCACTCATGGGCAGGAGTTCCAGGGCAGGTGAATTTTGCTGTGAAAAGGAAGAATAATTGCTATTTACACAAAGCTCACTGGTGACTGTGTTGTTGCTTTCCGTATTGCTTGGCCAGTGCTTCAACAAATGAGGTGGATTGTTGAGATTAGAGGTAGCTCTGATAATTAAGAAGAGTCACTCAGAGGTGTGTGGGATTTGCATGGCAGAGTAGTAAAGCTGTACTAGGATTAAGCATTTATCCCTAGGTACACATTGCACAGAAGACCTCAAATCAGCAGAAAACTTAGGCAAACAACTAAGTTTGGACTGAAGATTTTTTGGGAATATGCTGACTCTGGCTTTGGTACCTGTGTTTGAGTTGAGACTGAATTTATTGCAACAGAAGTGCAAACCACACAGGATTATATGACCTGGTAAATCAGAATGAGGGGAGAGAGGACAGCAGCCTTCTACCACATCAGAGCTCAAGCCTGGGGTTAGCACAACAATGCAGATTTACTGTTGTCTTCTAGGGACTCTCTGATGCTTAGTTAAATACCAGTTTAAGCATTTCATTGAAACAGAATTTGATGTCATGAAAAATCCCTCAATTATTAAGCATTTTAAGGCATAAAATCTGACATTGTATTTAACTGCCAAAATGTTCTCATAGGTTTAGAGAAAAAGCCCTCCATGGGCCCTAAGTAGTAAGCCAGCCATGTGAACATTGATTATAACTCCAGCTGGCCACACTTCTCTGTAGAGAGGCCTTGTTCTTCAGCATGATTTCTGCCCACAAGAGAATTCAATTCATTTGAAAGCTTTGCACCAGTGGCTTTTTTTTTGTAGTTGGAAGTTGACATCTGAGGAGTACGCCTGGAGAGGGAATCAGAGATCAAGTTAATTAATGCCAACTTAAAATTCAGATATCAGGACTGTCAGAGTGCCTTTTTAAAAATTCTTTTGGTCTAATAGTTTGGATATTAAGAAAAGTCTCTTCACTGAAAGGGTTGTCAAGTACTGGAACAGGCTGCCCAGGGAAGTGGTGGAATCACCATCCCTGGGTGTATTTAAAAGAAAGGTAGATATGGCACTGAGGGACAAGGTTTAGTGGTGGCCTTTGCAGTGCCAGGTTAATGGTTTGACTGGATGATCCTAGAGGTCTTTTTCAACCTAAATTACTCTGTCTCTAGTAGGAGATATACTCTTTCTAGTACCTGAGTCCATTGCCAGGGAATGACCTTCTTTATACCGTGAAAAAGAGTTTGGGTCTTATAAGTTAGCCTATTTCCCCAGTTTCTCCAGTTGTAAAAGGCAGTCTCACTTTCAGTCAGCAGTGATGTCTCTTCCCACAAATTACTTCAGTGCATGCCTTACTCCTTGTGTGGAACCGTGATGCTGCTTTGTATAATATATTTTATGTATATGCCAAGTCAGGCTGAGGCTGAAGTGACATGTGGGTTGGGACCACTGTTCCTGGTGTTGCCTGAGGGTTTGGAGAGCCCTGAGGCAGCAGATAACAAGTGTCTGCTTGTGGTTCTTGCTCTGAGGTAGGTACCAGAGCCCAAGCTTTGTCTCTGGTTCTGAAAGAGAGGATGCTGCTTCTGGGCGAGGCTCTCTGGAGCTCATGCTCTCTTCTACCTCTCCTGTCTCAAGGTCTTTTTCCTCCTTTCCACTTCCATGAGAAGCAGCAAACACTAGTCCTGGGTTTGGAGTTGCTATGCAAAATGATAAAAGGTTGAAGCTCTTTTGTGAGTCCCATGTGAATGGGAGTGTTTTTCACAGCTTTCCCATGTCAGTCTGCTTTTCACAGCTTCCCTGCCTTGGCCAGGTGGGGTGAGGCTGGTAATCCCTTGCAAGTATCAGTGATGCTTAAAAGCAAAGCTGTTTTTGGTGGAAGCCCCTGTGTGAGTCAGAAGGCAGAGCATGGAGTGAGCAGCTCTCTGGCTGACCCATGGGGAGGAAGGGTATCCTGCAACTCCCAGGTTTTGGACACACTTGGTGTTTATTTGCACTAGGTTTTCTGCAACCTCTTTTCCTAAAGCTTAGGCACTCAGGCCAAGCTGGTGATGCCAAGCTGGAAATGTGTTAGAATTGTGGTATAATTTATGCACACATAAATACCTACCTGTGCTCTCTCTCATGCACTTCTCTATTTTGTACATTTCTGATGTCTAATTTTAGTCATCCATTGCCAACCAGCACATCATGGGGCTGAGTCAAATTTTGCATTTCTGTGACATTTCAGTACCTTTAATTTGCCATGTCCAAAGGCAATGTCTGGGAACACTCTAGCAAGAGTTGTATTCAAAGAACTAGAACACTGTGTGGTACTTATACTTGTATTTATTTATTTATTTATTTATTTATTTATTTATTGTCACATGGTGCAAGGGGAGAAAGCTTTGTGGCCTTTCCAAGGCAGTGGGCTGTTGCCACACCATTATTCTGTTGTACCAAATATATTCTCTGGCTACCATCTGTGGCTGGATTCCCCACCAATGCTCAACCAGCAGTCCTCATTGAGCTAGAAGAATCTAATCTCACAAGTGTCATCTGAGCTTTTAGATCAATATTTATTTGTCACACTACGACACGAAATAGCTCACACATGGACACGAGATGCAAAAGAAGGAAGAAAAGAACCAAAAGAGAGACTTTATATTTTGATTCTGCAATATATACAATTTCAAAAGTGACAGTGGATTGGAGGATGAAATTGTCACCTCTCCAACCACACTGGCCAAACCCAACAGTCCATCAATTCTCTCCACCCACAAAGAAGAATGTAAAACAATCACTGTTCATATGAACAGTGAGAGAAAGTTCCAGTAGAAATATGTAAACACCAGAAGGCATAGAAAACTTTCAGAAGAACTTTAAATCTCTCAAAATAACAGGGTGACATTTATTATTATTTTTTATAATGGAGAAACAATTGCAGCCATCTTTTGGAACAGAATTTCCTTATGAGTGCATTCGTGCTCAAATCATCTTATACCACTAACTCATAAGGCATCTTTCAACTAGGAAATTTCAGGGAGAATCACAAAAATAAGAGCATGATGATTAACTGCAATACCTTAAGGACACATTTGTACTATAGCAGTTATTCTATGGTCCCTTAAAAAAGGAGGTGTTATAATAACCAGTGATTGATGATTGAATGTACAGACCTTGTCATGAAAACATTCTCTGTGTATGTACAATGCACACAAATAAATGCCAGTTCCACTGCTCTTCTGTGATGTGGATATAGGCTCTTCTCTAAACAATCAGCTTCAGCTGAAGTAGTTGTTAGAATGCCTTAAATTTCTACACTAGCTTTTACTTAGCACTGGGACCTGTGCAATGACAATTATGATACCCAGTTATGATTCCCAGAGGTGGAATTGATGTGGGCAGAGTAGGAAAGCACTGGCCAATGCATAACCTGCCAAAGGCTGAGATGAGTTTCTCATGTGGGTTTGCAGGTGTTTTAATTCCTCCCTTTTATCTGAATACTGTCCTGCTGCTGCCCTAAATGAATCCAGTTAGGAACAGAGTCAGATTTCCCTTCAAGGCCTTCACTCCCCAGTATGGAACACTGCTGATTTAACCTAGGTAGTGTTCAGGATGGAAGCAGAGGTGCAAGGAAGTGGAGCTCACGCTCACACTTCACAGTCATGTTGCACACAAACCTGCTATTGGGTGGACGTGGGTTTTGTCATCTCCCTTTTCCAAAGCCTTCTCTCTTATATTTCATGTAAAATCACTTTTAGCATTTAAATTATAACTTAAGCAAAAATCCAGACAGCAATTTATACTGGAAAGACTGACAGTATTTTGTGGAAAACCAATCTGGATTATGACAAAACTTTGGGGTTTTTTTCTTTATCAATGGCCCAAGTATCTGTGAGCAAATGAGCATCCTGGCTGTGTCCAGATCCTAAATCTGTGCCTCAGACCACTTCCTTTGCGGGTGGAAACAGCCCATTTTTATCTCTCGGAAAGTTTGCTTTGGAGACCACAAATATCCTTTTCTTCTGCTTAGGGAATCTGGTAAGAGAGGAAGGCTTTACCTGCAGTGACAAAATGCTCATGTAACTTCATAAGCACAGAAACTGGTTAAAAACTATTTCTGTTAATGGCACTAGTGCCTTGAAGTACATTTCTATTTTTGTCCTCCATAAGGAAGAAAACTATCCTGAGTTTACTTCAGTACTCACATATATGCACCTAAATTTTTGTTTATTTTTAATGGATTTTTAAAAAATTACAAAATTCAACTCAGTGATGCATGATGTTGAGAACTGCATAGAAAAGAGCACTTTGATGCTCTCTTGATGTAGAAGAGAACTGCACTCTCTCAGAAAAACTATCATTTGTTTCTGAGCAAAGAGAAGGTTAGAACAGAATTTATTTAAGATATATCAAGTACTGCTTTATTTCAGTGCAGGCACTTTATGAATAATGTTTTTCCATCCTGTTGTTGGGAAGAGTATTAGCAAAGCCATGCTTTCTCTTTAGTTTTTTTTTGTCCATGCCAAAGAGTGTAAATGAACTGCTGTTGTAAACACAGATTAATGTGAATGTATTCACCCATGTGCTTAAAGATCTTTACCTCTCACAGCTATTTTAACTTCTTGAACTGTTATTGCACACAGTAGACAAAAAAACCTGAATCCATGTGAGAGTCTTAATCCTATTTCCATATACAGCTAAAGGATTTAATGCTTAACTTGCTATAAAATCCTCATTGCTAAAAAACGGGCATAAGTACCTGAGAAGTGCTGTGTGAATAGAACTTTGCATTGGTCAAATAATTATGTAATTTTGGTTTGGGATTTTTTAATTTATTTTTTTTCTCACCAAAATGAAAAGACAGCAATGTAATGCATTAGCCATGGAAGGTCATCCTCGGTCCCCCTTGAATCGTCCTGCTGGAGCTCTTCTACTCGGCTTGAAATTCCTAAATAACAATTATTTAGCATGCTGGCTCTGGTGTTTAGCAAGGAGATAAACTACTTGGAAGCAAGAGCTGCTCACTGAAATAGCTGGAATTTTTTGTATGTGGTAGAAACCCAATGTGAGAAGGTTTTGTTCCCCCTTGCCACTCAATTGTGTTGTAAAGTGAGGGTTGAGCCAACCTGCCAGGAGGTGAAAATGGTGATTTGTAAGTACTGTTGTTATCTTGGATGATTTCCCACACAAGTGAGTAAACTGTCCTGAGACTAAACTACTCTTCATCTCCTCCTTATTTTCTCCTTGTTTCCCCCTAGAACTGGGCAAATTTGACTCCACTGTGGATACAGACTCTGAAGTGTATTAATGAATGTGAGAAAAATTGCAGTCTCTGTGGAAAATGTTGTCAAGAAATTAAGGAAAGCAGTCAAGGATTTTCCCTGTTCTCATTCAGCCTCTCTGGATTGTGCCACTGAACCCTTCCCTTTACATAAGCCAGGCCTGATTTGGGTGATCTGTTGCTCTGGGAGGTTTCCAAGGCTGGTGCCACCAGTCTCTCCAGGAGCCTGGTGGAGTTAAATGAGTGCTATGTTAAACCATAAAAAACTGAAAACTGTCATGGTATCTCACATTACACAGTCCAGAACTCTTCACTCTGTCTCTCCTGCAGCAGAGAGAATTATTTCTCCCAATTAACAATGTGAAGTCCAGCCGTCTGTGTCTGAAGCACAGCACATCTTCCTGGAACACATGGGATCAGGGCTGCATCAGCTAATCCATTTCACTTTCTAGGCTGCTGCAGCATTTTAATTGTGGTTGTTGAAACAGGGTCCAGCATTTCACTTCATAAGCTGCTGGCAGCCTCTTTGTTGAGCCACATTCTTTGAGAGCAGCAGGCAGTCCCTGTGCTCAGTGGTGCTGAGAAGCTCTGTACTCAACAGAATCCTTCCGTGGGGGGACCACTCTGCTGGGGCCCACAGCCAGTACAGGCTGCTGGTATCAGAGCAATTCTGGTCAAATACACTCTAATTAAAATAGCCCAGGCTACACTACTGAGAAATCAATATATTGTGGTCTGAAGTACACTCCAGAGAGGTTTTTGAATGTTTATAAACAAAACAAAAATAACAAAACACCCCAACAGTTCCACTGAAGTTTCCTCTCTCTGCATCCTTTAATCTTCGAAAACATTCCTGCAGACTTCAGAGAGGATTTTATTGCTATCAAGCTGATTGGGTCTTATTTCTCACATCCCTTCCTAACAGAGACGAGGACAGCTGAGGTGTGCAGGACAGTGGCATCAGTCTGAACAGAAATAGGTCATGAGGAGTCGGTGCATTTCCCCTGAGGGATTTCAGCTTTTGGGCTGTGATATGAGGGAGTGGCATTGACACCAATTTCAGCCTCTGCTTGGCCTGCTCATGTGGCCTCACAAATTGCAGAGCATCCTCTTGAAGCATGTGCTGATCTAAAGATGGCTTCTGGAGAGAGCCACCAGTGCCAGCTGTGCAGGAATGTGGTGTAAAGGTGCTGACATTGCCCCCAGATTTGGAGGAGAGCAGATCCAGATACCCTTTGTCTAGGGCATCTCTTGACTTGCCTGGGGAAGGAAAGACTGTTCCCAAATCTCTGTAGAGTTGGCATTTATGAGAGTAGCTCATTAGCACTCATAGTTTAAAAGGTTTAGTGGTTTTGTGTGGTACCACCTGCAAAGATCTGAAGCAGATCTTTCTTGCTTGTGAGTCAGTGCAGAGCCTGAAAGCATTTCAGGCTCTCTGAAATATGTGTCTTCTGATGTATGTATTCATTCATACTGTCTCTTACAGCCACCTGGGAAAAGCTTTATAAGAGTCTAGATTATCTACTTTTTT